TTCTGAGTTGAAGATGTTAAATGGTTGTTCAATTTCATCAGGATTATCAGAAATTTCATCAAAATCACTTAAATCTTTTGAAACTTTTTCAACGTTTGAACAACTTTCAGAACCATGGCATTTTGTGCATAACTCTGTCCATCGCAACTCATGCTTTCTGCAACCGCATCAATTGAATTAATTAATTTCATCGCGAGAAATGAGGAACTTTTCTTATTAAAGTAAAAGTCGATCGCATTGTATGTACTTACCTGACATCTTTCAACTACACGGAATATGCTATTACAAAGTTTATAGCAGTATTGTACAAAAATAAAAAATGAATTTAAATAGGAAAACATATGTTCCTTCGTGTTTTTTCCCGTACAATTCAATGGTCTTATTAGTTTTTGAATTATTTTTTTATTTATAACAAATTATTAACAATAACCAAAAAATTTGTTTTTGCAAAATGATTTTTTTTATATTTTTCAATATTTAGACATGTTTTTAAATGAAAGCTGTATTGTTTTATTATTTCATTAAAAAGTAGACGTCAAAACGAAAAAAATGAGCCCTGTATGACCTCTCTACGATGATTGTAAGTAGTAAAATGTAACTTTGAAAACAACGTGTCTCGGACCGAAATAAATGAATTTTTCAAACAGGTTTTAATATTTAAATCTAAAATTTTGTTTTTGTTGTTTGGGACACAAAAAGGAGTACTTTCAGCAAGTTGGGTTTAAAAATATTTATTTTTGAGAAATTGACAAGTAAAAAACGAAAAACAAATTTTTTTTTCATTTATTGCATTTTTTTCTGAAATTTTGAGGTTATATTAAAAAATGACCCATGCAAAAGTTGTAGATTTTTCCAAGATCTACAACTTTTGTATTTAACATTTTTCAGTGGGACATCAAATTTCGCGTGAAATTGCAAAAAACACGAGATGTATCCATTTTCACCCCTTTTCAACCCCTAAAATCATCCCCTAACTTTCTTGGGCACATAACTCATTTTCCTTATGTTGACTTTAACCCTTTTAACCAATTAAAAACGTAGGTTTCTGGATAACATTTTTTTGTTCTCCATATTCAACGTGCCTGGACTAGCACTCCACTGAATAAGTGGCGATTTCGGATAAGTATGTTATGTCTGCAATATGTCTACGCTCATACAAGGGTAGAATGTGAAACTTTTTACATCGGGTAGTGTAACTAGATGAGTAATAACGGGTTTTATGTTGTAGAAATCGCAAAAACCGCTTCTGTATGCGCTCGATTCTATCTATGTATGTGTTATAGATCGGGTTCCAGATCTGAGACACAAATTCTAAGTGGCTGCGAACAAACGTACAGTAAAGAATTTTAAATGTTTTGACATTTTTGAAATCCGCAGAAAGCCTTAGAACAAAACCGAGGGCTTTTCAGGCTCTACTTATGATGTTTTCGACGTGGGAATCAAAAAGTAACTTGGCATCAAATGTGACGCCCAGGTCTCTCATGACATTAGTCCGACTTTTAATATAACTGTATACGAAACATTTAGCTACATTAAGTTCAAGTTTATTGTTATGGCAATATTTCTGCAGCTCATTTAAGTCCTTTTGGAGATTAAGGTGGTGACGGATTAAGAATACAGAGTGTCACCACCCCTTTTCATCCCGTGGGTATCGTAAGAGCCGACTAAGGTAAAAAACTACGCAGGACAACAGCACTGCAGAGAGAAGGATAACTTGACACAAACCCTATACCAACCCGTCTGGCCAGCGTGGTATAGTAGGCCAAAACCTCCTTTCTAAGGAGAGGCTTATAACCAGCAGTGGACTATTAAAGGCTGTTGATGATGATGATGGAGGTTAAGGCAGTCACTAAGATTTGATATTGAACATAGGATCTTCATGTCATCGGCGTAAAGTATTATTTTTGAGTGAGTAAAGCATGTATGGATATCATTAATAAATATAGTAAATAGAAGCGGGCCGAGAAGTGATCCTTGTGGTATTCCCGAGGGAATAAAGACTGTCCTAGAGCTGTAACCATTCAGAACTACTGTCTGGCATCGATTTTCAATGTATGACTTAAACCACCTAAACAGATCACCGCACCGCTTATAAGCGGTTCCACCATTCGATTCTCTTACATAAATTGCAAGCTATTGGTATACCTATATATTGCAATAGCTTCTGTATAAATTACATCGACCTGAGACGGTTTACTCATAATCTCAGTCAAATAGTCAGAACAGACAAGTAAATTCGAACCTATAGATCTATTTTTTACAAAGCCATGTTGAGTACAATTCAATGAATTTTTGATTGCGTGATAAACGGATGAGTACACGATATTTTCCAGTATCTTTGCAAACAGACAGAGTTTAGATATGGGTCTGTAGTTTTCTATTTCATTTTTAGGACCTTTTTTGTGTATAGGTGTAATAAACGCGGTTTTCCATATTTGGGGTATTACGCCTTCCCTAAGTGAGCGTTGAAATAAAATGGTGAGTGGTAAGGACAAGCTACGTGCACAGTTTTTTACGAGAATAGCGGGAACACCGTCTGGACCCGCTGACTTCTTTAGATTAACTGATTTAAGCAGTTTAAAGACGTCTGACTGTCGTACCTCCACAAGACGCACATCCTTGGCAGTTGTCTGGTACTGAGCTAACGCACAATCGCCAGAATTAATATTGGCATCACCTCTAGTTTAAAGAAAGTTAAAATAAAAAAAGTCACTAAACATATTGCAAATCGTATCACCTTGGCCTGACGAGTTCTGCTCATATTTCATAGTTGGGGGATAACTGTTAGAGGATTGTTGCTTACCTTTGACATAAGACCAAAACAGCTTAGGTGATTCCATTATGCTTTCCTCAATGCCTTTTCTGTAGCTGTCAAACATATCAGACTCTAGTTTCTTAGATCTGTCTCTCAAAATAAGGAATGAGTTATAACTGGATATGTTACCATACTTTTTATATTGCCTGTGATGTTTAAGTTTTTCTTTTATAATTTTTATAAGTGGTGATTTGTACCAATTTGGATATTTAGATGTCGGCTTAATTGTTTTAAATGGAACATATGATGATCTTAATTTGGCTATTCTAGAGTATAGTAAAGAAGAACTTTCTTCGATAGAACGTTGATGAAGTTCTTTTTGCCAATCAAAGCTGTCAAGCTCTCTAGAAGTGGAAGCATAATCTGCTAAGTGGTACAGAAACGTCGTCCGCGGTGAACACGACAAAGACTGGTATTCCACAAAAAAAATCTGCTGTAATGTTAAGGGCCACATGGTGCGAGTCCTCAGGAACTAGAGGATCATCGCATTTATAAACATTTAAAATGATATTAGAAAAAAAAATAAGTATTCTGTCGTTCACATTGTGATGTGAATTATACTGCATTAAACTGCACGTATTTATAGTATCGAAAAAATCAGCCTGCGCAGAGCAATTAATATTATCTGGGTATAATGATTAACCGTCATCTGCCATGCGCCATTTTATATTAGATAGGTTGAAGTCTCCCAAAATAATGAAAAAGTCGGATATGTTATCCAAAATTACTTCATTTAAAGTGTTGGAATAATTTGTTACCTGTGTTAATAGTGTGTTTCCTTTGTTTCCCTTGTTTTGTCTACATATATATACTGTACAGATGTGTAATTTATAAGATAATCTTCGCCGTCTACATTTGAGAGTAACTGTTACCCAAATGTCCTCCGCTGACGAGCGCCACCCGATGCGCTCCAAAATGTTTTTTTTTTTTTCTTTGTTTTAAAAAAGACAACGCCCGCATTAGGAATAAATCCTGTGTCGCGGGAGACTTTACAAACATACATGAAACGGACACAAAGAACACCCAGACTCAGAACAACAATTTGTGGATCACACAAAGTGTCGTCCCATGTGGGGTTTGAACCCACAACACTCGGCGTAGTAGAAAGCGGCGTGGCGACCGCTTAAACCACTACGCCATCCGTGCAGTCAAAAAAGTAGTAATAGACCGATTAGGGCGCCGAGCAATGATTGTTGACATTACCATTCCACGTGACGACAATCTCTTAAAAGCTGAAAAAGATAAACAAGTAAAGTATTTGGATTTGGCTCACGAGATTGTCGACATGTGGGATGTTGATTCGGCAATCGTTTTACCGATAGTCATATTGGCCCATGGATTAGTTGCTAAAAGCCTCGACCAATATCTTCAGAGGCTCGCGTTAGGCAGTTGGATTAAGGGCCTGATGCAGAAAGCAGTTCTCCTCCTCGATACGGCACGTATTGTGAGGAAGTTTCTGTCTTGGTCCCTGTACCCGATACCGATGGGACACTATATTTAATATTTTTAAATGTATTTTTTTTTATTATATAAATATTATTTATGTAAATATATTTGTATTTAAAAATGTAATTATATTTAATGAAATGATAATAATAATAAACATTTATTTGCTTCAAACAAGTGTAGTTTACAGGAAATGAATCCTAAATTCAATAGGTTAGTTGTTGTGTATCAACATGTTTTGCCATGGACGGCGTACAAATGTAAATTGATTGACGGTATATTTTGACAATAGTAATTAAATTAGGTCAGAATTAAATGTCAAAATGAAAAAAATAAAAAAAAACTATAAAATTTATAAAGATATCTACAAATACAAAATAAATAGTTACAGATAAATATAGCAATAATATAATTAATTAAGAGATCGTTTAAGTAGTCGTTAATATTAAAATAACATTTCTTAACCAACATTTCCTTAACTCTGCTTCTAAACAAGTTATAATTCAATGACTTAAACTCTTTTGGTAATTTACTCGTATTATATATTTTGGGTGCCATACAGATTACACTACTAGCCAAATGAGCAGTTTTGGCGCTGTGCATACGTAGTCGTAGTAGTAGTAGAAAGTGGTATCTTTCTTCCATACCACAGACCAATCTGCAACCCATGTGGGAATTATTTTTTACGCCTGTTTAAAAACTTCCAGGCCAAAAACGATATTTGAGAGGACACATCTCTTTAATTGGAATTTAAATTCAAATTATCGATTTGCTTTAAATCAGGCAGTTCCACGGATTCGTCCTTCCATTCTTCACTATTGGTATTTTCATTGTCATCAAGCAAAGCTGCATTATCAGAAGACGAAGACAAAGCTCCTTTTTTTAGCACACGTCGAAAGTGCCTCCATTTAAAATTAGTCAATGATGTTTTAATACGGTACCTTTGCAATTCTACTCGAATACTACAAATTGAATCACGGTAAATATTGTTCTCTTTACAAATATATGGCCCTGATTTCGCTAACATCCACCATTTCTGTATTTCTTGATGGTAATGTGTGAAGAGCAGCTCGGGATTCAGTTTAACAGCCTGAGATGCATTCATGTAATTCTCTATTTCTGTTTTCAATATTTTCTCCACTTCAAAATGATTACCTTGTTTTGCATAAACAACTAGTTTGCTCAAAAATCCTCTCGCTACATCGCTACAGTCAAGAGACAGTTTAGGAAATTTTGACGTCTGCACGTCGATCCTAAATTCATCTAGGTTACAGTTTTCTTTAAGTTTTAAATATAGAGATTTAGCATTACTGTTCATATTAGTATAATCTTCTTTAAATTTAAAATGCTTTGTTATCTCATCGTATTCAAGAATATTGCCTACACATCCGCCTATTCCACCATTGGAACTCAAAATTCCATCATCAATTGAATCGTCAATTGTGACAATTTTATAGGTTCCACTTTGCTTTGATTTAGCAAATAATTCAATCATAACCTTGTTCAAGTGGTTAAGCCTTTGTTCTATCTTTTCTGGAGTACCTCTGATAGCTAAATCAATATTACCAAATGCTATAGGAACCGCTAATTTAAGTGAAGAGAGTATACCTTTTGCAGCCATTGTTTTAGTTTCTTCAATAACGTTAGGCGAAATTAGAATTTTCTCTAAACGTTGTACATCAGTCTGTGGTCTCTTAGTAATGAATATCAATTGTTCGTTTTTATAAGTAATATGGTTTTCAATCAAAGGACTTAACGTATTTGAAGAAGGGTCAGATAAAAATGTCAAAATCGACGCATCTAACTTTTTGTTATTCTTAATCTTCAAACGATTCTTTAAGACTTGTTCGTATAAATGTTTTCTGAACAACACAAAATGCTCGTCACTATTCTTGAAAAATTCATCTCGAAATGTTAGTATACGACATTTTAATCCACGTGTTTCTTGGATATCGGACACGTTTACAACTTTCTGGCCCAAAACGACATGATATCTTACCATGTACTCACTATTCATAATACTCATTGACTTGCTATCGTTAAGATGCTCATTAAACTGCTCAACTAGTATCGGGATCTCTTCACTCAAAATTGTTACACCAAAATTCTTCACATCTGTATCGGTGTAAATCGGCTGTGAGCCAACTGCGCCAGTAGATACTAATTCGTTCAAAATTGTAGAATAATTACTTTCATAAGGTCTACTTGAAACTGTTTTACCAAAGTCATATTTCGCGTTGGTATATACAATGAATACGCAATCTACATCTTCAAACTTCCCACTAAAAATTTTATCTTGGGTTTTATTAGAATTGAATTTTTCTCGTACTCTAGTGATACTATCAAACCATTTGACTAGGTCGTTTTTATCATCAAGAGTTGTGTCATCATTTTCTTTGTGTTTCGCTTGAACTAACACCAGTAAAGGTTTCTCACAGTCTTCTAGTTTTACTTTAAGACAAACGTCATCGAATGCCCCGATTTCATCCATATTGGAAGCTAGATGGAAGTCTTCTACATTTTTGTTATGTAACAGTCTATATAGTATCAAACTGATAAGTTTAGTTTCATAAAGCTGTCCACTAATACCTGATGTTCCGGGACGCTTCTTGTACTGATCGACTTGACTTGTATCCATAGCATCAACCTTATTTAACTACTTGCAGCAAAAATATATCTCAACGCCATCTAGAGGAATCAAGGTGAACTACGAAGTAACTACTGCATCGCATAATGAAATATCTCGCACTGATATGTACGACATTCCCATTAACGCGCCAGCCAAATTCAGCTAGTTCTTCGTGTTGGAGTGATTGATAATAACCCTCTTAACAATCTGTTTTTAAAGACCTGTAAAAATTATACAAAAAATTAAAAATTATACCATTAGGGCGAATTTGAAATGACGTCTTCAACATTCTTTGTCTTCTGGGTCTTCAAGATTTTCTATACACTATACCTTCCCTTATTATTTAACGCTGTATAATTAGCCGTTATTTAGCTCACAAATCTAGCAGGGTGTACAAACTTTCAAAGTTTTAGATACAATATATTTCAAAAACTGGCAACTGGCAATTGGCAACACATAATTGGCGCTCCACCACGCGCTTTTCAAGACACTTTTTACCTCTCACTACCAACCTGTGGAACAAGTTATCGGCTGCGGTATTTCCGGACCGATACGACCTTCAAACCTTCAAGAAAACTGGGTGGCAACGCGCTTGTGACTCCTGAGTTGCAGGCATTCGTGGGCGGCGGTAGTCGCTTTCTATCAGATGACCCGTCTGCTCGTTTGCCCCCTATTCCATAAAAAAAAACAATGACTACCGATAATCGTAGATACAAATTACTCTCAATTTAATATAATTATATACCTTCATAAGTATACAGGATATGTCGTAAATAATGACCCATTGTGAAGGACTTGTTGTACCATATCATAAACTATAATATTTTTCCACTCCGGTCGATATATCCCGAAGCTAGCTCTTACTTAACAAGTGATAAAGTATGGGGCAAACATTGGTGAAGTCATTGTGAAAAAGTCGATATGCTGATATTGTAACGCAATCTCTCCTGTATATTTTTAACTCCGAAAATATCCTTAATGAGTCCTTCAGGCCCGTATTTTAAAAGACGTCTCAAGTGTCGGTTGAACTCTGATTGCCTGAAACTAGTTTTAAGTGCAGATCAAATCTTAAGTATCGATCTTATTATAGAACGCGTTTTAAGTTTTACTCAGTTGAAACTAGTTTCAAGTATTGATTTGAACTTACAGTCTGTTCTCAATTACGTTTCCGCGTGATTGACACTATTATTCCACATTACGCAGCTAATTATTTAAAAAATAATTTTCTTTTACAAAAATAATTTCTGTGAATTTGTATATAATATACTATTGCCTAGTGTAGCAATGTTAACATATTAACAAGGTTGTTGTTCGTTCAAAATTAAGTATAATAAATATTAAAATAAAAATGACTAGCTGTATGAATAGGCTATAACGGAACGTTCAAGTTATTTATCAACACTTGTCATGTTGAAATGTCAAACGATGTTTTTATTTGATATTTCTAAAATTTAAATTACTATACTTTTAACATAAACCAAAAGGTTGTGGTAATTTAAACTGGTATTGTGTGTGTAAAATGTGAATTTTGGTGAATTTCATATCAATTAAGGTAAATGAAAGTGAAATTGATGATAGTATGCCAAGTAATTCTTTCGTAAATAAAGTAAAGTAAATCTTTCGTAATTATTCAAAAAGAAATCATCGTAAAACACATTCATTTCCCCTAAACGCCCTAGAAATCACCGCTTGAGACTAGCTTCAGCTTGTCTCACGTAAACAAAGATCACAGCTGTCAAAATCTATACCTGAGTAATGATTTCGACATAAACATCGTTCTAAAATAAGCTATCACTCACTTGAGTATGGATCGGCGAATCTCGTTTTAAGTGACGTTCAATAATAAAATCTCTACTTAAAATTAGTTTTAAGACTAGATTCACGACTGAGACACCTTTTAAAATACGGGCCTTAGTAACAAAATGGGCACAATAGATTTTTTATTATCATACTTACATCCAATTTCCATTAAAACCTTCCAATGTTTTCTTAGAAATAACAAAACATTATCAACTACATGGACCAAAGTTTTAAGTTCCTAAAGATTTATTGAGAGGTTAAACAATTAATGTTTACAAAAATAATTAGTTACTAGCTAATAAATAACTTTATAACTATTTAGTAAATGAATATTACAGTATACGTAAGATAGAAGAAGTACCTTCTTATCTCTGTCTGTCACAATGTTTAGTTCAACTGCCAGAAAGGGACGCACATATTCGAATGAATGCGATAGCGCACCAAGGACACAACTACTCAGTGTCATAAATATTAATACCTTATCTATTAATACATTTTGCTATCTGTACTAAACGTTTCGTTTCACTTATGGAGGGTAGAGGCAAGGAGAAACATCTGTGTATAAAAAGTGTCCGTCAAAATACGTTGGATTTGGGGCGCTATATAGAGCGGGGAGATTATAAAGAAAGCGCCAAAAGTTGAAAAAAATCATTAGACAGTAAATGATATCTAATAAATTTCAGACAATAAAAGTATTATAATATTTTAACTCAGCACACTTCACTCCGTCTACAACAGCTATGTTCATATTATCGTAATTTTTCTTACATGTGTGTTCAAAAACTGCTTATAGTTGAATGTTATTACTCGCTTCGAGAGTTCCAAGAAGACATGCAGTTTTTATTAAAATAGAAGACTGATAAATTTATAATTATATTTTTTTGTCTTGTTATGCTATTATCATTTTATTGTAATTGTATGACATTATATTATTTTATTTTATGACTGTATCACACGTTATTTTATTATTATTGCTTGACGTGAATTGAATTCTGAATACTTATTTTGGCTATATGACATTGTGTATTAATTTATTGCTGTTTTAAACTATGTAGTAATCTCTATCGCTTTTTTTTGCATGCCTTATGGTTGAATATGGTGAAAGAACAATTATTGGATATAGCTTCTAAGATCCGCAAATGTATACCCATATTCGCAAATGAATAAATGAAGTATGAATTCTTGAATAAATTCTCTTTCACTGATTCAACTTTCCCCCGGTATGAGATGGTTCTCCTTCCCTCTACCCTCCATAGTTTCAATTAAAATATGCTAAAATTTTGGATGTTTTTTTAATAACTTACAAAAAAATATACATTTATTACTAATGTCACATAAAAATATTTATTTCCAATTACATAGGTACTTACTTACCAGAGGACTTAGAGTGAGTTTACTTCACATCAACTCGCTTTCGACGGCGAGCACGTTCGGCGTTGCGATTGGTAAAGAGTTTAGAAGGGCCTAGTGTGCCCGATCGTCTAGTGTTGGGTATCCATTCATGCACCAGAGGGCCTAGTGTAAATTTATTTCCCCTCTCTCTCCACCATTTCACTCGCTCTTGACGGCGAATGCCTTCGGCGTTGCAATTTGGCGAACGGTGTAAACTGGCATTAGGCGCCCTGATACGATACGATCTCCGTATGGGAGACTATATTTTTCTACTGCAAAGTTGTTATTTAAGTTATGAACCATCTACATTGTAACGAAATCTCAAAGGTCACAGGCTATTATAATGCGAACTTAAAGTTTATTTATCTAAAAAAACTTTTACACTAAATAGCAAAAGTCTCTATACCTAACATACAATTACCGTTAACATGTAAAACTACTAGTACTACTGTCAACTAGGGTGAATTTCTGTGCGTTTAGGCGATTCTGCCATACATATTATAGAAATCAAATATAGCTCACTTAGGACCCAAAATATTTTGTGGCCGTGGTGCTTCCCTGTTTAAAAGAGTGTGTGCCTATTTTACTTTATTTTGTCTTCTGCTTTGCTAAGGAGGATCACATGGAAGTGGATTTAGTGTATTTCCAACTCCTCCAATTTTCTTCTGATTAATTTCGTTGCGGGTTCCAAGACAGTTCAATTTTTTTCCTGGGACTTACCGAGTGTCATAACTCGGTGTGTTCGTGAGTCACTGCTGTTGATCCTAGTGTACAGTAGTAACAGTGGTGGGCGTGTGGGAGGGATTAGTCCCACAAATAAAAAACATGCAAAAATGCTGTTTACCATTTTTATGACAAAGCAGGCAAACGGAGGAAGGCCGCCCATGGACAGCTGCAACTTAAGAGAGATAAATGTGTTGTCGCCCTTAGAGAAGAAATAGGGGGAAGAGCAGTAGTTGTTGACCGTTGATCTCACTCACTCAGAAAAAAGCAAAGAAATATTTTTTAACAATTGGTTTCTATGAGGCCGTGACACAAATTCTGTCGGGACGGCCCATATGTGAACAATATTTAAAATAACGAAGATATTAATATATAATTGACTGCACGGATGGCGCCACGCTGCTTCCTACTGCGCTGAGTGTTGTGGGTTTGATCCCCACATGGGACACCTCTTTGTGTGTTCCACAAATTGTTGTTGTGAGTCTGGGTGTTCTTTGTGTCCGTTTCATGTATGTTTGCAAAGCCCACGCTACACAGGATATATATATACCTCATGCGGGAGTTGTCTTTTAAAAAAAACAATGGGGATTTGATTGGCTTGACTAGAAATTATATTCGAGGTGCACAAAGGAGAACTAAAACGGCAACGTAGTTTGACGCCTCACCGGTGTGAGGGGATTTAGTTTTGTCAAGAATCAATTATTCCCTATTTATAGGTACCGCTCCTGTACCTAGTTGTCTTTGGCCGTCTGTTTGAAAGCCGGGGCAGTGGAAAATAGCGATGTCTACTTGTCTTTCTCGGGATATTCCTTCTAAACGGTCTTCTGACGTCACGGCAAAGAGGAAGTCTGTGTTTATAAATTATGTGGACTGATCACTACGCATAGACATCCTCCTTAGCCATCAGTAAACGGACAGCAAAGATAAGTTCTTTAAAAACACCCACATATCTTCATGGTGGCCAAGGGCATCTCGTACTTACGGAATATCTCATGAGATACAAGACACCGGGGTTTTAAAAGAACAGATTTGTTCTTACGCTATTCAATGGGTTTTAAAAATGTTGATCATGAAGCTGATTAGGAGGTTGGTAGGTACTTCTGGGGTACTGCAAAATAACCAATACACGATAGATGTTTTTTTCAAACTTCATTTAAAAGTCACGTAGTTAGGTCCTTTACTGTAGTGTTGCGGCTCTTCAAAATCAGTTGAATTCGAAAAATCGTCAAAATGTACGAAAAATTGTTTTTTTTAATAACGAGTAATTTTTTGTCCAGGCGTCTTAAAGTATGTAATAATACTTAAAGTCATCTGACATCAAAATCTCAACGAAAACTCATAATTAAAAGTATGTCAGTTAATGTAATTTTAAATAAATCTTTGTAGGCAAAAATCGCTCGTGTCCTAATCGTCTGAAAATTATTATTATAAAGCCTTTTTTACTGAAGAACTAAACACAAGTTTAATCTAATAGTATAAAAAATAACGTAAATCTAACACATCATGTTTTCCGGTTGAGTGATCAGCGTGTCCTGTGACACATAGCTCTTTTCCAGCTGTTTCCATTCATTTCTGTTTCTAGTTTTTCTAGACCAGGTAGCGCCTTGCGCGAGGTGTCTTAAAATACTATAATTTAAAACAAACACGTTTTATGATTAAGATTTATATACTAGGTATGCTTCAGTTTATATTTAAATAAATATAAAAACTACTTAATTATTAAAGATTTTTTGTCTAGCAACACAGAAAAATCTTTAATGATATATATAATAAACTAGTTTTTAATGATGACACGAAGATAGAACGAAGTATGATTAACCACTCATCAACTCGCTAAATTTACTTTACTAATTTACGAATGGCTAATCATTAATAGACCCTGTGGTGGCTATGACAGTCACCGCCGACTTCATTATACTTTTGACACAAGCTAATGATTAAAGAAAACAAAAAACCTGACTGCATGAACATGTACAGGCACTTAAAACTATGAATATTGTAATACGTTTTTAAATTTAAATAAACATTTATTATTATTATATAATATTTTAAGTGTAAAAAAAAGACTAAATTTATTTATGAGCAATTTTTATAATTTTCATTTAAGTTTTCATCCAGTCTTACGACCCAACGACACCTCTCAAGACAAAATTCATCAAGTCAGAGCACTAGACTCTACTTCTAGCTCAGTAGGTAAAAATAACCTCAAAATTCTAGCAGGAAAAAATAAAACTCATTTATTGATAATCACCTATATTTTGATAAATACATAATTTATTGATGGATTTATGTTGCCAGTAAAGTTGGCAACATTTTCAAAGATGGCGATGTACACTATTAACTTACAACTAATTCACAGTCCCAGATGATCAATTCTTACCAGAAACCATATCTTCTAAGTTCTTGAGTTCGGCTGGAACAGGAAACAGTATCATATTAGTATAGGCACTCTGCCTTTTTGCCCAAAGAAAGAGTGAAATGATTAATGTATTTCAGGATTAGAAGGGACTATAACAATTAATCGTTACAATTATAATTTTTTAATTAACCGACAACCGTTGGGGAAAACGAGTTCTTGAGTGGAGACCGCGTCACGGCAAGCGTAGTGTAGGACGCCCACAGGCCAGGTGGAGTGACGATTTGCGCAAGATTTGGCTGGCAGGCGCTGGATGCGAGAATCCCAAAATCGATCTAAGTGGCGTGCAATGGGATAGGCCTATGTTCAGCAGTGGAATGCGATAGGCTGATGATGAATCATCTCAAATAATTTAAAAAACAATATGACGATTGTGTTTTTTTTTTAGACAGTTCTCTTAATTGTTTTTTAATTATTACTTTTTACACGACTGTCTTTAAAATAATGTATTATTTTCATAGATCATAAATAGTATTTTTTTTATTCCACCATAACTTAAAGGTTGTAACAGATTTGAATAACAGTATATTGTAAGAATCCATAGACCTTAATACCCAAATTTTTAAAAATATATATGGCAGGTACATTACGCTAATTTGATTTATGACAGGACAGTTAGATTTTTAATTTTTTAAACCAGCCACTTGTTTCCAATGATAAGAAGACAAGGAAGAGTTTATATGAAGTGACATGTTAGTTTTTTTACTACTTTTTTCATAGAGATTATATTTGAGTTGACCCTGACTTATTAGCACAAGAATTATTGGTTTCTGAGTGATGTGACACATGAAGCTGTTAAATGGTTTATGACGTTACGAAATGCAAGAATTAAGCTCATCCAGGTTAATATTCAGATATATTGTGACATGTTTGAAACAAGTCTAACAGTGAACCTTGGGCAAGTTTTTTTGGATTTTTATTTGGGACTTTCAGTTATTAGAAATTGTTATTAATTAATTTTACATGTTGTATGAATTATTTTAGGAGTGACACTACATTATCACCAGATGACAGTCTTTCACTAACTTATTCCAGTCATAATAACAATTCATACTCAACTCACTCTGAAATGTCAATATGAGTGTTACCAACTTAAACTTTAAGTGTTTTCGTGAGCCTGATGCTATTGTTGTGGGATGGGAGTTGCTCAGTGGTATTTTAGTTTCATACATCAGTACACACACAAACATCAGATTCAAATCAAACATCAAATTTCACAATTTTTTTCTAAATATTGTCAAATCAGTGTTGCCAATTGTTGTACTTAAATGTAAATTAAGTTACAACAATTGGAACTCAAATTATTTTTGACAAGGTAAGGAACGAAGGTATGAATTTTAAATTAAATTATACATATCTGTAATACAAATACTCATTAGCAAAGGTTTACAATTCCTAAAAACCCCCTTTACATTTTTTTCATTAAAAACACCCTTACACAGTACCTCCTCCCTTCTTTTGAAAGGAAACCATTATGGCTGGCTACACTGAGGCTGACATCATTCATTTTTTATTCAAGTGTCAATAGTATTAAAGTAATAAATTACCAGCTGCAGCCATAGCCTTCTCCTTTGCGATCTTCTCATCACGGATAACCTTTTCTTTGGCCTCAACCTCACGGAACTTAGCCTCCTTCTTGGAAAGCCTGTTCTGGTGGAATGCTCCGTACAAAATACCGGCTGTGAGGAATGACCAACGGCCAAACTGGAATTAAATAAATATATACTCATCATTATCACTTAATAGAACTGAAACTTATGCAAATATTTTTCTGTTGACACTTCTTACAATGCAAAATCTATTTCATCATAACTTGCTTGATGCTTTTTGGATGGAAGTTTAACTTCTTTTAAATAACTATTTCATAAGTAAAGTTCTAACCAACGTAAGTCAAGTTTCTAATTTACTGGAGAGCTAAATAGCTGCTGCTGACTGAAAGTTGAACAGACTTTTGAGTTCTTCTTCTCAAGGAGAAACATTTTGATCTTGCTACGAAGTTTTGAGAAGTCCCATACATTTTTTCAAGGTCAAAAATCAAAATATTTTACTAACTGAAATCTCTGTATAGTTTTACAATCAACATTTTCTACCTACTGAGCTTTTGAGACCTGTTAAACTCAATGAGTGACCTGTTCCATCATAGGTGCCATATAATATCTGTTGTATTTTTGAGACTAACTCATCTGATACATGGTTTAAAAGGGCAAGAGTTTTCATGTATTTGCTAAAAAAATACTTCTTGAAGAGCAATAATTCAGTAATTTGCCGTTTTTAAATGAAATTTTGATCCAAATTCAAATTCAGAAATTCATTATCTAAATTCCCTGATATAAATCCCGGACACAAATGATGGAATAATAAATACTTTTTTATAGAGCTGGCCGCAAATTATATGAATAATGTCAATATCATCCTTTTTGGTGGGTAAAATGAGCATTAATGTACAAATACAATGTTACATAATGGCAGATTTTGTATAAAACTTGTATGGCAAACAATAATTACCCTGATAAGTGGCGATACTCGCACTGGAGGTCCGTATGGAAGGTCAGACATTTTATTAGATTTGTATTTGGGGATCTTAAAATCCAAATAGGATTTATTCAAAAATCCCAAGATTTCTTGACTGAAGAGGTTATATCAACTATGTAAATGGGGTTGTCATTAGCGAAAAATAAGACAAGTCAAAATGTCAAATAAATATATTAATGTATACTGCATATCTTATGTTAAATTATTATTGTTATTTAATTATTATATTATTATTGTTTATTGGTTTGTTTTTCAAATATATGACATTGGCGAAATTGTGGTTACATTCTACCACAAAGCCATTACCCAAAAGTTGAAGTTGAAATTATTATTGTAATTAAGTGTATTTAAAGTTATTTCTTTGTAGGTGTCTATCTATTGAATAGCTAAAATGCGAATAGTGAGATGAACGAATCTGGTGTACCAGGGCCAGGATAAGCAAGGTGAGCGTGAGGAATGAATACCGAGGTAATCTCAAAGTGGCGCCAACGGGTAAAGTTGATAGGCCACAAATTAACTTGTCATAGATATGTGATGCAGGGGAATGAGCTTAATTTAGGTATGAAAAATCACAGGTTCACGGAAAACCATCAAAGCAAAGATGTATGGACACTACAGGCGTATTTCTAAGCAGTTAGTTAAGAATGGAGAAGAATAGAAGACAAATTAGTTGGAGCTCAAATAAATTTGGCAACAGAGCAAGAAGATTCGATTTTTTTCTTTCAGTATAATTTCGAAATCCCGTATTGTTATAATATATTTTCTTTTTAAGATTTTTACAAAAGGAAATCAATATTACTTCAATCGCTATATATCTTTTTAATTTCACCTTAAAAGTGAAGCCAAAAGCATTTGTAGTTTACATCGACTCTCTGTACACTATACATCCGATATAGGCTATTCAGTCCTTACTAAATTTTTAGAATCAAAAGTATTGCACAGTGGTTAAGTAAACTGTGTGAGGAAAAAAGGAATCTATAAATGTTAAAAGTATTTTAAATATAGGTACTGACTGCCATTGTAACATTGTGCAAACTTTAATAATTTACCATTGTCACGTGAAACATCATTAGTACTTTACCTACTTTTTTTTTCTATAAGATGAAAAAACTGAAGGGTCAAAATAAGGACAGCTACTGAATAACTTTGTGTTTTTGTCTCTGAGGCCAAGCCGGGAGACATTGTCCTCACTTCTAAAACTAGCCTAGCCGAACGTTTACAAATAAATTGCATTGTTATTACAATCTGTTAAATTCCACAATTTTGTACCACAACTAATGTAGAGCTTTCGGTCCAAATCAAATATTTTATAGATCTCAATGTTTATGAATGGCAATTGTTTTAGTTTTATTTAAACTACCTTTCTGTTAAAAATCTTAAATGAGATTATGACTCACATAAATGGATTAAAAAAAGTGCCTATATAAAAATATTAAAATCTATACATATATTTTATTAAATTGTCAACAAAATAGAATTAACAAAACGCGATTAATGTAGCTTTGACAGATTGACAGCCAACGCAAAACGAATGAATGGCCGGATGACTCGGTGGATTTCTCATTCCATCACATCACTCAATTAAATCAATCAGTCTTCAAAATGGCGTTGATCACGTCGTTTGTGTCCGTCGCTATATCTATACTGTACACGCCGTTCTTACTTTTAATATTGTGCATAATATTCCTCGCATCAATTGGGAAATCTTTGGGCGTCAGAAGGCTTTATGTGAACATCTTGCTGAAACTATTTGAGGTAAATATTTATTCAATATTCTTAAGTGCAATATTTAATGTGAATCATAACTATATTCATGGAAACATAGAACTAAAACTATGTAAGTATTACATTTTAATATATTCACCTTTATTTATTTGTTTATGAGGTTCTTGCGAAATATTATTACATAGGTTATGGCACAAGGTTCCGTATGTGACTCATTCTGTTACTTATTGTTATCTGTGATAGGTAACAGATTAATAGATATTTTTTTTTATTTACACGGTAATGATTTTAAACCGTTTCAACGTATGTATTAAATGAAAATATATTTTTTACCATTCATAACGGTATACTCAGCAGTGTCTTTCAAAAACTTACGGAACGGACAAATGAAAGTTAGTTATAAATTTACCTAACGCTGCTTCATTCAATGGTTGAAACAAATAGACGCAATTACGTACTTTTTTTATACTGAAAACCTAGCAACTGCGTGAAATTTTGACCCTATGAATGTAATACTTATGCCAGAAAAGAAGTTGTATACTTTTTTTGGTTAGGTCTTCAATCATTTTGCCATCACATTGTTTACTAAACATTAGCAAGCAATTCAATTCTTTTTAGAAACAAACAATCTGTTTTAAACACATATTTGAATAACACCTGTGTGTAGAATGAAAATGTTATCTACAACGTTTTTATTAGTTGTTAACAAAAAAATTTGATAATCTGTTAATAAAATAATAATAAAGAAAGAACACTAAATTTAAATTTTCTTTAATTTGCCGAGAGCAAAATCATCATCCAAATTAAATTAGTAACATATAATAAATAATATAATAAAATGATATAATAATTGTGTATAAATTGTTGTGATGATAATAGTTACAGAAAATACCTAGATTTATTTTAATTAACTCTTTCCCATAGATAAGTATAGATTAAATCCTTACCATAGATAGAAAATGTTTAAGGTACCAAATAGTGATATTGCTGGACAAGTGGCACTCTTATCTGGTGACATTTTTGAGCCATGACCATTTGGTCACACTCTGGTCAAACAATCCAGTTACATTTGCATTTTTTTTATTTTTGTTGTTTTTGTTAAGGTAGTAGTTTAGGTAAGGATTTATCAATAACGTTTATCCAACTATATGTTTGAAATTATATCAGTATCTAGGTGTGATAATGCATACTAAATATTAAGTAAAGTTGACTTATTAGTTGTCTTTTATTTGGTTTCCTAAACTTTGTAATTAAAATAAAAGCTAAATATTCCATAACCAGTTAACAGATATGATGATCCTGTTGTCCTATTGATTATGATCCTGATTGCTAAGCTAAGGTAGTAGGTTTGATTCCCACCTAGGACAAATATTGTATAAAGTGCACTATCATTTGTTCTATGTCTGGGTGTAATTTATCTATAACATGTATATCTCATATATGAGTCGGGTTACCATAGTACAGGTTCTGCCTAGTTTGTGTCAGGTCATTATTATTACATTATAAGCATTACAATACTGTTAAATACAGTGGTTAAATGTATTTACATTACAAATATACATGTTGGGCCACCTGTTTATACAAAACAACTTGTACAGTCTACGGTATGGCACTTGCCTATATTTTTAGTTTACACCCAAGTTCTACAGATCAATTTATACTGGTATATGGTAGCTTTTGAATATTTTGTATATTCGTCTGAGAGCCATACTTAGTCACATATGGGCCAGGCCTGACCAAAGTGATACTACAGCATCACAGAATACTGGTGTTTAGCAGTTCCTACGTTGTTTTTCACTGAGTAAGTGAGGTTACCATACCCAAACCTTCCCCCTCCCACTGCTACTGGGGGTGGTTCTGAAGGGGCGGCAGTGCATTTATGACTCTTCAGTTGCAGTTGTCCATAGGCAGCGGTAGTCACTTATCTTCAGGTGATCCATCTTCTTGTTTTCCCTCTATGTCATGAAAAAACGGTTATTGGGAAAAAAGAAATAAAAAAAATTGCATAATAAAAAAGTAAAAAAAAAGTAAAATATGATTAGAAAATTTAATCTATGAAATACTTACATGTGTAACATTATCATAAAAGAATTGTTATCTACCTTGTTTTTTATGCTTAAATAACTAATCTCTTTAATTAGTCATCGGTTTTTTATTTATTTTTATCCAAATTCGTAATGGAGGAGGTTATCAATTTGGATGTTTAATTTTTTTTATGCATAGACATAACCCTGTCTTATACAAACAGATTTTCAAAATTCTTTTTTTGTTCGCAATGGGTCCCATTTAAATTTCATATAGATCTGATGGTGAGTTTCTGAGGCAGATAACAGAACTCTTTAAAAAATGGCAGCAAATCAACGATGATTGCTGCTAGGTTTTTAGTGCTCTTTGTTAGTATTGTTTGAAGTCTCAACTTTAAGAAGAATTTTCTTGTAATAGCCCAAGTTTCGAGGAAGACTGTAGGATGCTGTGATTATCATACTTATGACCTTACAAATATGTCTTCACATCACAACCACCAAGCAATGTATTCTTTTTCCGACCTACCTGCAGTCAAAACTGTGATTCCTATTTGTTGTTTTAGAGGTGAACAAATTCAGGGACATCAAATGTGTCTTCTGAGCAAATTTATTGTATTCTGCCACAACGTCTCAGAGAAGAAATCCAACTAAGACTCTTAGTTGGATTTCTTTATATCTCCCTATGTCTGTGACTACAAGCAACTATGGCATAGCCTCAGTTCCTATGTGGCACACAGTAAATAAGCTTGTCTGATAAGTACTGCAATGCAGAGAATGAATGGACCTTCTTGGGGTTGATGGGTTGAATTGATGCATCTCAAATAACTATTATTTTCACTCGTGGAGGAAGGAAATACTGATTTTAGCATGTTGCTATGGCACATTTCTTAAATGGGATCAATCATCAAGCTCATTCATGCAAAGAAAGGAGAAATAACCTACTGTTTATTAGGCTGCCTACTGGGTATTTAATTTTAATTTGTGGTGGTTTTTAATTAATAACTCAATACCTGGTTTTGGTTTAATTTACTAATAAATAAAGTAAAACTAACTGATATTTAAATAACCGCAGACATCATATTAATGACCATATCATCCATTCCAGGTTAATTTGGCGAAAAAGGTAACTAAATATTATTTATTCGAATGATTTTGATGCTCGCATACTTATACTCAGTGATATTCGGGGTTCATGGTCACCCTGTATATTACGAGTATATTCGTTTTTATAACTCTGGTCGGTCCTTCATGTCTGAGGAGCGGTAATCAGTGATCAGTTGATGTCATTGCCCAAGTTGGTTCACCATAGACGGGTCATCACAGTATGGACGTACGTACACTGTCCCGGCATTTACCAGATAATATTGTCTCGGTTACATTTCCCCATTCCAGACTTGCGGACTTGCCCCAAATCCTGCCCCCTATCCATTTCGTTGTCCCTACTTTTCTTTATCCTTTGTTCCGTCTGAAAACAATGTTCTAATGAAGATTTTGGTTAGCCAGACGGTCGTAAACGAAACTAGCCAAAATCCTGCATTATGTTCTATTTTGCGCCGACTTCAAGTAAAATTGGAAAGAAGGCAGAAAACTGATGAAAACCATAGTATTTCTTATGAGAATTTTCTTGTTGGTGTACAGTAAAGTCTGTTTCCATTTAATGACTATCCGTATTAGCATGTTTATAGATGCAATTTGGATTGCAATTACCCACACATGTAAAAAGGACCTTCCAAAAAATCGCAATCGTAAAAAATCTTAAAAAAAGTAAAATTGTTTGAGTTCACATTGTATAAATAAAAAAAAGATTTAAACTCTATTAGATCATTGGATCTATGGTAAACTTTTATCGGATCCAGAATTGTCAAAATGCTTAGTTGTCAAAATGCTCGTAGTACGCAAGTGGCAATCACGATGATCAAGTGAGCGGCGTGGCGACCGCTTAAACCACTACGCCATCCGTGCAGTCGATTGTGACATAACCGACAGTTTCTTGGCAATTACTTTTGTTTTGATACTTCCGTGTGTGACATTAACACAGTATGCCTAATAACATTTACATTAAGTGTCAATTGTTACTAACATATTAGCTTGCTCGAGGTAAAAATATTATTATTCGGTTCTCATTGCTCCGATAGGACTTATCTGCTCATAGATATCCAAGAGCCTCGACGCTTACGAGGTTCACTTTAGACGGCTGGATCAACGGTCTGATACAAAAGGCAAATCTCGACACTGTTTGTATTGTGAGGAGGTTGCCTGAGCCTACGGTGTCTGCATCCCTGAATCCGATATCGATAGTCTACAATTTTTTTAATTGTTAATTATTAACTTTTAACTTCCCTATGACAACAACATAATTCTCTTATATTTAGAATATACTAATTAATTGTAAGCGTTATAATCATTAGTGTTATTTATTTACCAAGTGCAAAGTGATTAGTCAAAGTGCAGTGGGTCGAACTTCAGAGAATATAAATATTATCGTCCACGTGAACTTTATCTTTGTTTATTCTATTGATCTCATAATACTGGAGCCATACGTTTTTATGATAAAGGCGGGCAAACGAGCAGACGGGTCATCTGATGGTAAGCAACTATCGCCGCTCATGGACATCTGCAACTCCGAGTCACAAGTGCGTGACAACCCTTCGAAACCCCCCCACCTAGAATCCGGGGATTTGGGTTTGGGAACCGCATACTCACAAGCCGGCGCATTCGTGGCGAAGCATGGCTCTTCCACGGTATAAAGCCTTTTACTGTTATTGTTTCTAAAAGACAACTCCTGCATTAGGAATATATTTCCTGAGTCACGGGGAACTTACATACATTTAACATAAATATACATTTAACGGACACAAAGAACACCCAGACTCAGGACAACAATTTGTAAATCACACAGTGTCGTCCCATGTGGGGATCGGACCCACAACACTCAGCGCAGTTAAAAGCGGCGTGGCGACCGTTTAAACCACTACGCCATCCGTGCCAGTTATAATAAATGCAAAA